GTAAATAAAGGAGCGGGAGAAATTGAGTCTAAATTCTCCCCACTTGGTCCCGAGTCATTTGCAAAAGCCACCTTAAAACCCCCAAGAGAGACACCCTTGGTCTGCATATATGTCTTCATCTCGCAACGGACTATATCACAGACACCTTCGACTGAGAGTGACCCTTTCTCTGGCCATTGATAAACACCAGATAGCAGAAGTGGAAGAGAAGAGGTCTGGTTGGCATCTGTAGTAGAAACATTAACTCAGGAATTCATACCTGTCGTTACGTTTTTTTTTTTATTAAAGTAATTTATAAATATAAACAAAGATATAACCGTAGTAACACCAACCATGTAACCACCAATGTAAACTGTTTAAATAATCACAACATTCCTGTTTATAGAAACCTGTGCCAAATGCTTTGTCGAGAAAAAGCGATTACATTATCTGAATGAGGCACTTATATACAGCACCTAGATAGAGGGCACATTGAAGTTAGTGGAGAATTTTGCAAATTAGAATTTGCTGAGGGCATTCAAGTGGGGTATAAAAGAGTGGAATAAGTGTTCTCAATGCTTAGATGGGCAAAGAGTGGAAACCCTGTAGATTAAGAAATAGCTATAGTGTCAGTGAAGGTGTATTTTGGAATTCATGCACTACATGCATAGAAGCCATAAAAGTCCAAGCTAATAATGACAAGTTGAACACTGATTTCTATATGCTTGCCATGCAGTATTTCAGTCCTAAAAACCATGAATAAATTTAAGTTACAACTACTAGGCACAGTACGACTGCCTGTACCTTTATAGGATTTATGATGGTGTTTCACTCTCTGATTGGTTTAACAACTGATTATTATGTTAGTTATCAGCACATGACTGTACTCTAGTGGTCTTCATTTTTACAAGAAATGGATGGTATTCCCTTAGTATTTGCTTTTTATACTTTTCTTTTTTCCTCAATGTTTCTATAATTATTTCCAATACTGTATATGTAACAGCTGGCATATTACAGTATGTAATAATGATAATCCCAGATAGTAAGTGACTTCTTTTAGCATCTAAACCAAATAACAGGTTTTGTCTAGATTGATATATTGGCAGTTATACATGAATCAGCATACACATATTTTGTACCTGTTGGATCACCATTTCACTAACACCATCAATCCTTTTAATGTGTCACAATATGGGCACCCACACATTTTTGCTAATTGTAACTAGCTCAACTTAGTGGGCTAATAGCTGGTCATTCAGTGCAGAAACTATGGGGTTTCATATTATTAGTTACAATACGATTTACACTTAATACAAAACATGTTCATTTAACAATCGATGTTGTCGAAGGAAAACAAAGTTTGATAATAAACAAAATTTTTCATTGACATAAAGGGGACATGGATAAACGTTTCGGAATTCTATCAGATTCCATCTTCAGTATCTAAAGCAGAATAAAATGAATTTACATCAGTCTTTATACATTTTCAAAGTGCAGTTGCTAAATATAACGATAATTAAACAAACAGAACACTAAACAGTAATCATGGGGAGAAACTGCAGTAAGAAAACACAATGAAAAAAAAAAGTAAAATCAGTAATACAAACATATTAAAA